CCTTGAGAACTTTTAACCATTTCAGCAATGCAGCATTCGTTGAGAAGAACTTCATGCGAAGTGTATTTATTAGTTTGACTAACGTGTCTTTTCTCATTAATTTTATTAAATAATAAACGTGTCTGAAATGTGTGAAAAAATTACAGTTGATATCGCCGCGATCAGTTGGCGCGGCGTCACGAGACGTTTTCACCACTGGTTGTTCCCTTGCCAGATCGATCACCAGCAGATCACTACTGGTGGATAGAAAGCCAAAGCTCCGCCCCTCCTGACTGGTTGTGACGTATCAACTGTAGTCATACTGCATAAAAAAATCAGAAGATGGCCTGAATAGGACTGTTGGAGTCAAGTTTTACGGGCTGTGAAAGAATGGGGAAAGGGAGGGTGTGGGGGAAACAGCACTCTCAAAATCCTCCCACCATTTTTCGCACTGCTATTCTCGAAGTAAAATATTGGGGCACGTGTGACATGAGACGGAATTTTGGCTGAACACAATGCCTTCCAACTTTCTCCTCCGATGCCCCTCCCCTTTCACGACCTACCGACCGCTTTACCAGACTTTCCAAATTTCGCTCTGGTGCGGGAATGGGGTAGGGAATGGGCAAACCTCTCTAATCAACGATCAGAAGTGCGCGCCTGAAACGTTAAAAATGAACAACTGCGAATGATTTCTCCAGGTCAAGCGCTCCCACCTCCCCCCCTCCCCGTTTGGTATTTTCCATGGTAGGACGTGCCCTGTATAGTAGGTGGAGGGACCAGATCTCAATAATTTTTTGAAGTGTGCGGCTCTACACAATCTGAGGCAAATTTTCAGCTCTTTCTCTCTGGACCTTGATGGATGAAAAATGCAGTGAAGTGATTAGGAACACTAAGGGAGGGGGAGGTTGTCGTTTCAGGGAAAGGCGATTTCGTCAACGCCGCTCGCCCTGCCGCCCAAAATCAGAACGGGGCTGTTTCAAATGCACAAAATATCAGTCAAAAAAGCAGCAAAAAATCAGTTTCACAAAGCTTTATTGACAAAATATCCTACGCAGTATCAATCAAAGCCATGCGTAGCCAGTATACGCCTTGGCCAAGAACTGCTTCGTATTCGCAGAAGTTGTAGTCCTAAAAAGGGATTGTAAAGACTTCAAATTTTAATATAGAAAGAAGCTGATATCTTAGGCTCTTTATTGCGAAGTCTAGATAAGTCCTACTACAGTGGTTACAAAACGTACTCTTTAGGAAGGTTCCAAGGGCAAAATCGTTGAAGTCAACGCAATTGATCGCCCATCCAGGTCGGTTCAGATTAAAAAGGAGCGTCTTGACGAGTCCCTGAACAAAAATTTGGTAGTTTGCTCAGTCGCGGCAAGCGAACGTAGTATCCGAGAGTTCCAAGTAAAAGATAGGAAAGGAGAGAGATGATGGGCTTCTTCTCGAAAAAAATAAAAGATGGTTCAGCTCTGCCTCTGAATCAGACAAGCATCACTGTCAAAAGATCAAGCAAGCCATTTGAGGCTGATCGAGACTAACGTTTAGTTATGAATTTTTTCTGGCAGAGTGCTGCCAGAAACCCTTTGTTTCGCAAATGCTTACCTTGCTATCGAATATCGAGAAACTTTATTGATGTGTGTTAGCGAATGTGCGTGTCCTCAGTATGGATCACACAACGTTTTCTTCATGTCGCGTCGTATTCAGCTCTAAACAACAACGAATTTTTATTTGGCGCGGTGCCATTAACAATTTGTGAGGGTGTCACAGGCAGTAGGCGACTACACAATGAAGTACACCCCTGTGTGCAAATGGCCTTGGAGGGTGAGCAGGGGGGGGGTTGGGGGTGCCCAGAGGCCTTGTAAACTTTACAAAGTGCGTGGGGCCTTATTGCTCGTGTTTCTTTTGTCTCGTCACAATCGTGTCTCAGTGAGTCCTGTAAACTCCTGTCAACTACCCTGCAACTCTTGTGAAGCTTGGCGAACTGGTCCCAGCGTCAATGGAACGCCATTTCTTCGCTTTCTTCCAGATCTTAACCAGTCATTTTGACAAGTTTGACAGGAGTTTACAGGGGTTTGAGACAGGTAATAACAAGGTATTGAATAGGATTTCGATAAGTGTGGTCAGGCTGCATATGATTACACAGGATTTGAATGCTGACAAGCGCTTGTACAGGTTAGCTCCCCCCCCCCCTTTATTAGCGTGCAAACTTCCTCTTTAGTACAGCCTTTCCTCATCCTACCTCCAGCCATGTTCCCAAATTCTCCCGATTCTCTATCAATTTCTTCATTCTCTTCTTCATCAATTCTCTATAACGGATTTATTACCACTGTACTCAGTCGCGAAGACGTACAGTTTTGTGTGGATGCTGGGCTTGTCAGAGAGGTAAGTTTGACGCCAGCGCCCCCGCATCCAGTTCTGGCACCAATTGTTGTCGTTAAACGTTCCTTTCGAAAAATCGTAAAGACAGGCGCGCCAAATCCTGTCCCAACTTTGACACGCCCGGCAGCAGTCCGCAACGAACACGGAGACACTGTACCACCACTCATTTGACGAAGTGAAGTAATCCAATAAGTAGTAATCCAATTGGCAACAGCTCTCAGGAAACACAATATGATTTATGAGATGCCACGTTGGCATATTTTTGCAAACGTGCAAGACGGGACGCTTTCGAGCCGAGCTTCCGCTGCTTTAGCATTGGCAAGGAGGCGACAGTTGGTGGTACGGTACCGTTCAGAGACACCTAAAAATGAAAAATGAAACTTTAAAGAAAGCCTTTAGCAATGTTTTTGTCTGCACATTTCACCTTAAAATCCTGAACTGCGGTTTGAGTGTTTAAGCAGCCCTCGAAGCAGTTGTAATTATTGTTCAGTGGCACACCTCCGTAAGCGAAATCGGTAACACCGTCGACAATACTGAACGACCACGTGCCTGTGCCATCGTTGCAGACTAAATTAGGCTTATAAATCAATAAAAACACTATAGGGTTCAATAGCTAGGTACCTGTGACTGTGGCTCTACCGTATTCCCGGCTGTCCTCTGCACTACTTCACTACTCACGCTATGGCTGATTGTGAGTAGTGGTGTAGTGCAGATTCACATGGGTAATTGCAGAGTGTACTCATAAGCACTGGGTACAGGACTCGAAAAAAAACTTACTATTTGCCGTAGCCAAACCAATACAGATCGCAAACAGTGACTCCTTCAGCATCTGGAATGTTGAAAAATTAAAGTTTACAACAAGAAAGAACGAGATTATTCGGTTATCACTTAACTAATTGCAAGGTTTTCCCCCAGTCTGCCAATAGGTTATCCCAAGATTGTGGGTCCAGTGCTCTGAATGCTGCTAACTAACTTCGCAGCCTTGTCTATTACCTTCTCACTCAAAAGCCAAAGGAGGTCACGTGTTGGATAGGAAAGTATCAACCATTCAGTTATGACTAGCTTCTTCAGTAGGTACACCGTAATCGAGAGATGCTGTTCATGGCAACCCCACTCGGAGCTCCCAATCTTTCGAAAATCTCCGAATAGATTCAAGGTTAATAATGTAATGTAAGAAGAGCTGAAGGAAACGTCTAAAATATCAAAGAGCCTTATCTGCAAGGTTACGATACATGAGAAGTGCCCTTTATCAGAATGGTGATCGTATGACTTGGGATTAGTGAAGTTGCTCGAAAAGTCAACCGAACTCGGGACGATAAGCTATCACTAGCTGCGCCTAAACTCCATGCGTTCAGACGTCACTACAAAAATGTTTGCTATGAAAGCAACTCAGAATTTCGTGCTCCTTATACTACGTATTGGAAGCTGGCACCACCTGTGCTCCCGCTGTTCACCGAATTGCTCGAGCGGACACCAGTAGTGTCCCTGCATGCTTTAGAATTACCCAGTGCGTTCTCGTGCTCGGGGAGGGGGACGCTGAACATCACATCATGCGTTCAGGCTTTCACGATGAACATTGTAGGTGGTCTTCGAGATGTTCACTTGATTCCCTGGAATCCAATCGGTAAAAGCTCTGGTCCAGCGATCATCCTCGAGTGACGTGTCCATCCCTCGCAGTCCTTTTAGAAATCTGCCGTCTGCGAAATTTCAGAAATCGCTGCGTTTTTGATCGTCGACAGAGAGCAGTTCTGAA